TGCAGTTCAGTTCATCCAAAGCTTGGAGTAAAGTCCCTTCAAATGCTTTCTAGACATACATGAATATCTCCTAAATTCCATTTAGGATTATTACTTCACATTGAATATGAGAAACTAACTCCTCAGTCTTTTTCTCTGTATAGTTTTCCTTTCGTCCCAAAACTAATCAGCTACGTACTTAGGATGGTGTTGGTGCCATAAAATCTTTTATATCTCTCCACTTGTTAAAATATAGAGTATGATGCATCATAATAAGTCAAGGGTCCGTTATCAGATTCTGGGCACTGTTTTAAGAAGATTATTCTACTTTGCTCATTGATAGAGTGTTAATCCAGCCCTGAGGATCTGATGTAATTGAGCTTGACACAAAAAGGCAGATTACAGCAGAGAAACGGAGGGGCTCACCTGTTCTTAAAGTGGTGTTTCTTTTCATCACAGAGATAATAAAACCTTTATGACGGAAGTTTGTTTTCTGTGTTGAGTGTCAGCTCATAAACTCCTGCCTGGTCTTCTGTCACTGGCTAGAACTTCAGGGATTAGTTCTTGGACACATGCTTGTTATCCTTATATAAAGGAAAAACAGAAGTTAAACAGAAAAAGTTCTGGAAAAAAAATCAGGTGGTTAAATGGTTAAAGAGATTTCTTTCCTTCTGTTATTGGTATATTTGCATGTTTCCATTACCTTGCTCCATCTGTACTTTGCAGATGAGTTTACTGTGCAATAATTAGTTGCATTGTCTCATAAATGGAACTTAACAACTTAACCTGTACTGCACATTATTTTGTTCTGTTCTGAAGAGAAAATGAGACGCAAATTTAAATATTTAAAATAAAACAGGAATGCCACAAAACCGTAAAAGTTTTATGGTAAACGGTAAACGGTAAACGGCATGTACTTATATAGCGCCTTTATTCAAGTTAGAAGACTTGACCAAAGCGCTTTACACTACATTCATTCACCCATTCACACACACACTCACACACTGATGGTGGCAAGCTACATTGTAGCCACAGCTGCCCTGGGGCTCACTGACAGAAGCGAGGCTGCCGTACACTGGCGCCACCGGGCCCTCTGACCACCATCAGTAGACAATGCAGGTGAAGTGTCTTGCCCAAGGACACAACGACAATGAAAGTCGGAGTCGGGGCTTGAACCGTCAACCCTCCGATTACAGGGCAAACTCCTACATCCAACGCCACTGTCGCAAAAACATATCCCATAAAGAAAATTCGATGCAATACTGTCTTGACTATATATTTTCCATTTTTATTTAATACGTTTGGGTTAAGTTGAAATCCTTATAAAAGCAAAAATGAAGCAAAACCAATAAAACTCTTGCTTTAATCCCAAATAGAAAAATGAAATAAAAAACAACTTAATATGATCATTATTCTTACACTAACATGATAATAAATCCTTAATGAAAAAAGAGCTGATGACGAATAAAGCTGAAATTAAATATTTATATTGTGCATGCATCCAGGGACTCTGTAACTGTTTATGATGAAGCAAATAGACTTACCTCTCACTGTTAACGTTGTTTCATTGGTAAAAACACCAAAAAGCAATGTCTGAACTTCACACCTATAGCTGCCATTGTCCCATTTGTTCACCCAAGGAAGTTGGAGATCTAAACCAATTAACTGCTGTTTATCATTTGTCTTTACTTGGCTGTACATCTTAGGCCAAAAATGATGCTGTCTGTATATTACGTTGTACACAGCAAGCTCTTTTTTTTTTCGTTTTTCATCCATTTAATTTCGATAATCTTGGTATCAGTGGCAGCTTTCATCAAGCAAGGTATGGTAACGTCATGGCCCACCTCAACTTCCATTGTTTCATAGAGAAACAGCTCATAATTATTGGCCCATGTTAGATAGATCAGATCATACTGAACAATAAAAAAGGAAAGAGACAAAAATCTGTTGCACGTTAGAGTAGGGAACACACGTTTCTGAGCAATAGGATGCACAGCCATTAAATAAAAAATGATTTACTGTAGAAAGCTATTTTCACCAAAGGTCAATAAAGACTTCTATTTCAATAGCAATGGTCCTATCATTGCTCACACATTAACAACATCATATGTGCATCCTTATTGCTGCTGGGCCCCTGGCAGCTCAGAGCGGGACAGAAAGAGACTGAATAAGCTGGTAAGGAAGGCCACTTCTGTCCTGGGCTGCCCTCTGGATTCGGTGGAGGAAGTGGCTGAAAGGAGGATGCTGTCCAAACTCACATCCATCATGGACAACACCTCTCATCCCCTGCACCAGACTGTAGAGGAGCTGAGCAGCTCCTTTAGTCAGAGACTTAGACACCCTGTCTGTAAGAAGGAGCGCTACCGCAGGTCATTCATTCCTGCTGCCACCAGACTCTATAATAATGCACTATAACCACAATAACTCCTATATTATAGTTTTTTATTTATTGACTGTGCAATATTCTGTGCAATATGCTGAATGTGCAATATATGTGAATAGAATAGTCATACAACTACCTCACCGTTGTTCCTTACCTACTACACTTTAATATAAAAGTAAATCCACCTGTATATAAGCCATCCGGATTGTACATATTTTTATTTTTTATCTCTTATTTCTTTATTTCTTATTTTTATTTTGTTTTTCATTGTGTGCGATACAGGTACACTTGCATCTTAATCCTTATTTACCTTGATATACTGTATATACCTGGATATACTATATATATATTGTTTATTGTTTATTCTTAATGCACCTTTTTCCTCCTTGTTTGCACCTTCTTTGACTTCTATGCCAATATGTGACAAGTGAATTTCTCCGCTGTGAGACCAATAAAGCTCATCTAATCATCTAATCTAATCTTATTGGATTACCTGAGATCGCAGCAACAAGGATCAGAAAAGAGAACGCTATCCCCAGTACACCCCTGGCCATGGTTGAGTTTGTGATTACAGTCAATCCCTTTTATAGAGGGATTTAGGTTAGTAACATTTAATTCAGTGTCAGCTGAGGTTAAACAGCAGGGCTGGAAAAATGAACACCATGATGTTTTCTAACAGGAAGCCACAAAGAGAAAGCGCATCAAATGTGTAAGGCTGAAGCTTTGAGGTAAATAGTTTTCATGCACAGCAGAACTTTGCATCAGATATAAATCTTTGCAGAGTTTACTGACACTTTGTTATATTGACTAAATGAAAGTATGCAAAACATTAATTAAATTGAGTTGAATCTAAAGTGAGCTTTTTATGCTATGTTGGACAAAATTTTTATTTGAAGCAATATTATCTCAACATTTGCATCATTATTTGTGCCTCTTTAGTGATGTATTTTAATTTATCATTATCTATGTGGCCACTATAGGATTATGTCAATGGAATGTCCTTCTGCTATTTTACTGAAACTGTTCATGCTGTTGGCTGAACTTACAACTTACAACTTTTCACATTAGTGAACAGTTAAAGTTGTTTCTAAAAAATAAAGAAGGTTAGAAACAAATAGAAGTTAAGGCACCAAATACTTTGCCAAAAAAAAAAAAGCCAAAACATTTGGAACAAACAATAAAACCCAGAAATGTTGTTTGTAGCAAACCTTAAGGTTGAAATACTTAGTTTCTCAAGAAGCATAAAAGGAACCTTGTAGGAAACTTAAGAAAAACTCTCAAATCCAAATCACTGTGTTCTTGTTTTAAAAAAAAAAAAAGAACATTTTGAAGTACATTTTTAAGAGTTTAAAAGTTCACAGACTTGAAACTGACAGAAGTCTGCTAACAATGAGTGCGGTTTCCATTTTATCTCAAATCTATGTACGGTATGTGCACATGTGTGTTTATGTATTTGTGTACTGTATGCTGAGAAGTGTATGAGTAACGTGTGTCTGTGTTTTCAGATACTAAATGTGTGTGTGTGTGTGTTTTTGCAGTATGCAGTTGCACAAGCATGCTAGTACACATATGTGCACCAGACTTATATTGTGACAAATGTTTTTTGAGTTATAATCTAGCTTTAACTTTTGCAGATTTATTTTTATTACATAAATGTTTTAGTGTTTCATTCTACTACCTGTCATTACATATTTTGTTAATTTTCTATGAATTGTCGAAGTCTTGTTTGGAGTATTTTTTGCAAATTAGTTATAGCGACAGCCAACACCTGTATACATAGCATATACTGCTTTTAATAGAGCATAGTGGAATGTACCTCTCCCTTTTGATAATGCATTATATACAGGGAGATAATAAATGATTAATAGATTAATATTAGCAATAAACTAAGGACTAAATGATATTGCATTCATGTTGGAGATGTGAAATGTAAAATTCTAACTGCCATTGTTTTTGTCTGATCCCAACACTCGTGAAAGAATTGGGCTAATAATGTAACAGTGAATTTGGGCCAAGTGTTTGGAACTATGTGATAAAAATGTATTGTATGCCCTAAGTAGGTTAATTGGTTTGAGTTTTTAGCCCAGTATTGCGAACACAAAGAACCCTACTACTGGATCACTGCTTAATTGGCTAAATAAACAACTACATCAGAAGGCTATCTGGGCTTCATTGCAGGAAATCCTAATTTGCTGGTTTGTAGACGTAAAACTGTAATTACAGCATTAAAGCAAACAGTAGGCAGCAATTTATGGATGCATAAAGCAAAAACTGAGACCACTTAAAAAGGCTGTTTCCAAAAGAAAACACTCTGTTAAACAGGCCTAGCTTATAAAGCCTTAAAAAATAATTTAATTTAGACACAAAACAATTTTCTTTTATTTACAACTCTCATGAAAGGTTTACAACTGAGACATTTAATACAACATATAACTGAAATACAAGTACATACAAAAAAAAACAGTTTCACACAAACAGTTTTATGCACACTTATCTAATTTCCCAACCACTAACTTTTTATGATTAAGATTTATAAAAAACCTAAATTAAATCCCAATCCAATGCTTGACATAGCATACTGTAACACCATTTGTAACAATTTTGAACATAAAACTTCAATTAAAGATTGTTTATTGAGCTGTTAACAAAAAACTTACAAAATACGGCTATACTTTACTTTTTTACCCTGATCAAAATGTTGACACAATGTGTTTTTTTTTTTAAACATTCATTGGTGATGCTGAGAGATATAAGGTGGCTGCTTTCTCTTTGCTACCCCTCAAAATGAAAAGGAAAAAAAAACAGGGTAATTAAGTAAAACAGGTCTGTTTTTATTCATTAATGGGGAAAATGCCTTGAAAAGCAGTGGCTTTCATAACCTTGCCCATATCTACACTCAGATCAATCCTTAAAATGTTTAAAACATCAGTATATATAACAAAGCCGGCTGGGCAAGATCAAAGTCCATTCCTGTTTGGAGGACGACTGTGAATTCACATTAATCTGAATTATAAAATACTTAAGGCGATCATTGTCAAAGTCAATGTTAAATGTAGGTGTATTGCACATTTTGAAATAACAACTAGGGAGAAAAATAGTTCACAATCATAATAGACAATAGACAATCATATACCAGTGATGTGGAGTATGCATGCCACAAATACTGGCTATTGCACATGGATCCCTATAATAAGGGACCTATTTAAAAATTTTGACCCAATCTATTAAATAAACATCTCTTTTCCACTGTCTCCACTTTGCCAGGCTCTACTCCAGCCCACCAGTTTTTAAACCTTTTCCACACTGGTTTTTCAGTCATACTTATTTCTGATCTTACCTGCTCTAAAGCTGGCCTGAAAAAAAGCCAGTACCTGTTCTGCAAAAAGCACAAATGGAAACCACTGAAAATTGGGGGATGGATAAACGCAACTCAAGCAGAGCCGCTGAATAATAGAGCAAGCTATGTCTGTTTAATGAAGGCAGAAGGGTTAGATCAGCAGACAGAACGAATTTTCTGATAAACTTTAAATCCAATTTTAGGTAGTTTTGCAAAAAATAAAAAATAAATAAAATATCTTATGTAAAGGGCCTGATGTATCTCTCGTATATATACATATATATCTCATATTAAAACATTGTGATACATTCATCTGAATAAGTCATAAAGGAGAAATGAATTCCATAATTTAATTAACTAAATCACTATTTTGTATCAGGAAGAATGGGATACAACCTCCTGGAATGATTGAACAATCTTGTAGTATTTCATGTGTGATGATGGCAATAGTTTTGTTAACTGGCCTCTTATCTAGATGTACATGTAATTGTAGGGGTTAAATTCAGTCTATATTTGAGTCTCTGATTGACAAGAAAACACTTTTTACCTGAAATTATTCGGTTTGATTTATAAGAGTAATACATTTCAAGAACCTTTTACATGTGAACTAAATATGAAGGTTTTATGAAGCTGTATCTCCTTAGCAAAACAATTTTTACTTTTGTGAATCACTTTCAGTAAACCTTAATGAGTACTGCAGAAATGACTGTCATACAAAGCAAGTATTGCCAATTATCAATCATATAAAGATGGGTCTCATAGGTTCTGCTATGGAGTTACACCTTGAAGTGGGGAAATGCTGTGTCTCACTTCTTCTTGAAGATGTGTACTTGACAGGGGGTGGGGGAGGTTTGAATGGTGGTGGGAGGTCCATCCTGCAGGAGAAGTATGACAGCAGAGTATTGATCGGTGACATTGCTTGATATCACAGAAGAAAACACACACCAGAGTTCCAGGCCATGTGCCTCTATAGTGTCAGCAGTGTTAGCATTTTTCATGTCTTACTAACCTCCATGGACACAGAGCTGGAGAAAGACAAAAAAGGTGAAGTTTTACCTCTTTTTCAGGAGTTGTCTCCTGTAAAGCACGACAACCACGACGATCGATAGCAGCAGCAGAATGACGATGAAAGCTATCAACATATGGTTGCGTTTGGTTTCTAAGGAAAAGATTGTATAAAAGAGAAAAATCTTTTACTGGAGGATACTGGTAGCTTCTAAATAAATTCCTACCATATTGATTATCCTGCCTCCAGATTCCAAAACACTATCTTAATGAATGTAACACTATAAAAACAAAACTTTTAGCCCTGAGGCTGCAAATTGTTTCTTGTAATCCCCCCTCCTCAGTTGAGCAGTAACTTTGGATGCTCTGTTTATTGAGTTCCACCTGACAAGGTATCTACCCCGAGGCTGAGAAAGCTGGAGTCTATAAAGGTCCCACATGTGAGAAGTTTCTACACAGTGACGAAAAATGGACTGCAGATAACATTCAGCACTGTTTGTGCGGTTTTTTATTTTGAGGCATGTGGTTATACTGTTCTCATAGGCTGTTCTCAATTAGTTTTTTATTGTTTACCTTCCCGACAAAAACAAATCAAGCCTTTCCACATTGTCTCAAATGGGAAACAGAAGACTGCAATCATTTTCAATACAACTGCTTATTTCAAAAAGCAAAAAATTTCATAAAAATAATACAACCATCCCAGCTTTATACTGGTACTGTAATACTACACCTCTAATGTTTTCCAAACCCTGACCCTGACAATAAGCCAATATACTAAAGATTCATCAAACATTACCTTTGCCATCCAGAACAGTCACAGCAGGAATTTCTCCAAGAAGTGCAGTGCTTCCTAATACAGGCTGTGTTGTCCTAAACTCCTCTGTGCTTACTGAGGAAATGCCCTCTGTGGACCGCTTGTAAATCTTTGATTCATTCTTCATTTCGTCACTTGCCGTTCTCCGTGTTGATATGAGCTCGGTCACTTCATTACTTGACGTACTGGAGTTGAGTAAGTTGACACTGACGGATTGTGTGCCAGGGGATGATGGGAAACTGACAGATGCTGAAGTTTTTGAAGGGGTTACATGCGCTACAGCAGAGACTATGGCAGTGCTGGAATTTGGTTGAGGGGTCCAATAATCATCTGTGGAAAGTGTTTTGGTTGATGATATCATAGAGCTGGGCTGTGGTGTGTCAGTGGAACCCAGAGTTGACTCTAAAAGTAAAAAAAACAAAGAGTAATGATAATGTTCATCACATCAAATACTGTTTAAAATGACAGAAATCCATCCATCCATCCATCCATCCATCCATCCATCCATCCATCCATCCATCCATCCATCCATCCATCCATCCATCCATCCATCCATCCATCCATCCATCCATCCATCCATCCATCCATCCATCCATCCATCCATCCATCCATCCATCCATCCATCCATCCATCTCATTACACAAGATTTACAAGTCACCGACTTTATGCAATCAAATATCCAGTCAACACATGTCCCTTCTCAAAGTCGGTTACCTGATGCAACTGCCTGGATTTCCTTAGATAAAAAGGAGAAACTTTCAACATATATTTTCCCTTTATGTCACAGCATTTTTTTTTAGCAAAATTGGTTTGTCATCAGGCTCTCAGAGTCAAGTTTTATGTTGATTAATAGTAATTAATGAATTGTACAGCATGATACGGGTTGACCCTCTTGTAGCCACTCTTAAGTTTAGACAGACAAGACAACTTGCCATGTAACAAAGGAAGATTGGTACTCAGAATTTATTGAACTGTTCAGATCAACAATGGACAAGGATTCACATTTGCCTTGCTGAATGAGTAACATGCTATAGAGAAGTGAAAAGGTATTCAAAGACCAGCTACAGTGGTACAAACATGATTGTATGTGTGTTGCATTTGTAGCTTTATAGAGACGCCAACAGATTTTAAAGGTGCTTGAAATACAATGAAAACTAATTTAAGGGAGGCATTTTTATGTAAACCAGAATCCTGGGGATGACTATGAAATCTGGCTTTGTCTACTGCCAACGTCACCATTTTCTAGGTGCTCTCTACCACCACTTACCAACTTCTATGTGGAAAATCCACACAATAAAGTGCTAAAAAAAATGCCGAATATCAATAATTTCTCAGTGTGAGTTTTTAAGGTTGCACTAAACTACTACAGAAATAATTATGTGAGCTGGTCATACAGTATGTTGCGCAATTGCCTTTTTTTTTTTTTTTTTTACCAAGGGCATTATTTCCTAAAATGTTAAGCTATTTCTTAAATAAAGTTCACAATATACAGCAAAGAAAATAAATGTCAAACCTCATGGAGAGGGATATTTTTGCATGGTAAAAATGGCAAACATTTAGCTGCACTTATCTGCAGAACTTTCTGCATTTATCTGGACTTGGGACTGGCCAAAATAAAACACATGACCAAAGATGGCAAAAGTACTCACTTTCCGTACTTGAGTAAAAGTACAGATACTTGTGTTAAAAAATACTCTGGTAAAAGTGGAAGTACTGATTAAACTTCTTTACTCAAGTAAAAGTAACAAAGTACAGGCTTGTAAATTTACTTAAAGTATAAAAGTAAAAGTAGAAACCACTTTTTTCATGCCGTTGCCTACGTTTTAAATGGATGTCTGCCAATAGGACTAGATCTCCGTTGTGTTCATTTCAATCATCTCGTAGTCCATACTACTATGCTAACGCCACCGCCACCAAGCTGCAATGATTTGCCGCCAATGAATACCGCCGAATCTGTCGATTCATCTTGTAGTGGTGCGTCAAATGCAACGTAGATTCCCATCCAATTAGATTGAATTTGGTATTGATGACGTGAAAAATAATAACGGTAACTCCATTGAAATGATTCAAAACTAAAGTAACGAGCCAATTTTTTTAAATGTAAGGAGTAGAAAGTACAGATATTTGTGTAAAAATGTAAGGAGTAGAAGTAAAAAGTCGCCATAAAAATAAGTAGTAAAGTAAAGTAAAATATAAGAAAAATCTACTTGAGTACAGTAAAGAAGTATTTGTACTTCGTTACTTCCCATCTCTGCACATGACCCTATACCTGCTTTGGGTCAACACAAAATATTGTCTAAGTTAACATTTGTGATCATATAACTAATTTCTGTTCAAATGGCTTTGCTATAGGAAACATTTCTGAGCAATAATTATAAAGTTATGATAGATTTTTTTAAAAGTGCAATAGTACCTTTCTTTTCCATTAAAATTCAAATGTAATCAAAGTATAAAAATATTAACATTTCACATTAGACAAAACTGTAACACATTAAATACATTTATTTTCATTTCTTAGGAAAATGTTTTCCAGCAGCTTTCTGTTTTAGGCTGATTTTTGCTGCACTTCTCTACCCTGACCAATAGACTGTGCTCTTACTGTACGTCATTCACTTTGTCTGTATGTTTGTTTCTGTGGTTTGAACATGAAGATAAAGAAGAGGAGGTAACTTCTGGTGCGGTTTCCTTTTTGTCACTTACTCTCATGAAAAATGAGTTTACAGGATGACATGTAGACATTATTTCTCAGGTGACCACAGTTGACTCACAGCAGTCGCAGAGCCATGTGATAGACAAGACACTGATGACTTTGTCATAGAATAAAATCCTGTCTGTTTTCTATCAGCTGAGCTTATGAGCTTCATGCATATTTAAAAAAAAAACTAATTTGAAGCAAATAAAGGTTTTTATTTTGATTTTTTTAATGTATTCACAGTTACATCCTCATGACCTGTATCAGCTTTAAATCCTTTGAATATCTATCATCCCTTCAGCTAATTAAAATGAAAACTAAGTGAGCTACAGCATATTAACTAAAGTTCAAGTATCAGCTTTTTGATCCAGTGGGGTTTATTAAAACGTTGGGTCTCTTTGGTCCATCGTTAGATAGTTAATCCAGCCCTGAGGATCTGATGAAAGTAAGTATGACACGAAGAGGCAGGTATCAGTAAAGAAAGAGAGAGGCTCACCTGTCCTGAAACTGGTGGTTATAGGAAGTACAGAGATATGGAAAACCTCATGCAGTGTCTTGTCTCCTGCATTGACGGTCAACTCATAAACTCCTCCATCGACTTCTGTCACTTGCCGAAGCTCCAGGGATTCATTCTCTGACACAAGTTTGTTGTTCTAGGGCACAAACAGGTGATTTAGAGAATGAACACAGCCTTGTTAAAACAGTAAATATTCATATAAAAAAATAGATTTTTACAAACACTATATGATAAAGCACATAATATGTTTTCCCTGTATGACTTCAAATTAGCCTTGATGTATCCTGTTTTGAGCAATGATTTCCTTTGTTAGGATAATTATAAATGATGAGTTGTGAGTTAGTTACACCTTAAAGTTAGCTGCCTGTTGTGTGTCACAACTGATGATTTCCACAGTAGTTAATCTAATTAAAACAGTTGCTCTGTCTGGATATACAGTTATAATCTTCATTCTGTACATGGTAAAGATTTGGATATGGAATGAGAGCAGTGCCCTTCAAGTGTAATATTTTGATAAGGCTCATCTGCTAACATGTATGAGGTAAAATGTGATGATGTGGCAGACTGGAGATGTATAAAATGCCTTTTTAACTGTTAATCGGGGCCACTTCCTGAGAGGTGAGCCCAGAGGTGAGCAGCTGCCTTCTCTAAATTCTAAGCAACTTCTCTGATCTGAGTAAGATTACAATTTCTAACAGAATCAGTTGTCATGTCTCATGGTTATTTAAGACATATAAGTTATGAAGTGGTATTGAAAGAGGTTGTCCCGAGTGATCCCTTTTCAGGAAAAAGAACCTGAGAGATAGAGCCTCAAGGTGCATACACAGAGCCTATCCGTAACATATTTCAATTGTATAAAGGCTAGGATGGCAAAACAAAATTATCTTTATTCTTTTTCTTAGAGGGTATCATTGCCAATTCAGTTTGCAGCATTTATGATTTTCCTATTGGATATTGTTTCACAAGCTTTTTACCACTCCAAAATATTAATGTTACTGCCTTTTAGCCACTTATGTATTAAACTTGGGGTCTTTCTTAATTTGGACGACCGCAATACTCCTGCATTTTAATGCCAGTTTTTTTTTCACATGATTATATATACTTTATTACATAATCTGTACAATGAGGTGTACCAGTCCCTCCAGCAGCAAAAGTATCCCAAGCCCTGATTCCTCCATCCCTGTTCCTTATTCATGTGTTGGTTCAGAATTTTTAAGAATTGCATTGGTTATTATAATCAAACACTTATATTTGTGTTTAATCAGAGGTCAACACATACTTCTAAATGTACAGTCTTTTCCCTGATTACATTTGCAACTGTACTGTGTTCTTTTAATTATCTATTTTTTTTTCCATCTTTAAATTGATTCTTAGCTCATGTTGGTAAAGAATTTAACTCTGCGTGAATAATCAAACATAAGGTCTTTTGCTTATATTATGCCGTTAAAATTAATATTTCAGACTAGACACAAAGGCATTCCCATTGGATTTATATTTGCATAAAATTGTTTAAACAGATGAACATGGCACCTTTAAGTAGGTGGAATACCTACAGGCTATTTCTGACTCAGTTTTTTTCAACACTATCAGCACTTTATTATTATCATTATCATTATGCGGGAGCGGTGGCCTAGTGGTAAGAGCGCTGCACTTGGGTACCGGAGGCTCTGAGTTTAACTCCAGCAAAATACCCATATGTGTCCCTGAGCAAGATCCTTAACCCCGCACACTGGCCCTGGTGCAGCACACAGTGGCAATATCACTGGGGAATGGGTCAAACGCAGAGGGGAATTTCTCCAGTGTGAGATTAATAAAAGTTCAATAAAGTTATCTGGAGATATTGATAAATTCTTCTTCACACACTTGTTTAGAGATGGTCAAGCATTTAGGATCACTGCCTGTTGCTTAAAACAATGTTGGTGATTTCTTTTAGAGTCCAAGTTAAGCCCTCTGGCTCCTTCTGATTACCACATATTGTAGCTCATACCTCCTGTCCCCAACATCTATTCCATCACATTTTTGGAAATCAACAGTAAGAACATCATCTGGGGTAAGAAAGGAGCTCTATTTGGATGGCACTCATGGTGACTGCTGAACCACTTCCATTCTGACTTAAGTGTCCTTGTCAATTAGAACTATTGGGACCCTGGGTTTTACCAGTCTTGATTAAAAACTAGGCCACATTTGTAGTAAAACCTCAAAATTGGACAGTGTCAGCTTTTGCATTTGTACAGTTAAGGACGTGCACAGATAGACAGTAGGTGGAGCTAGAGCTGCCCTTTTTGCCTCTGGACAAAAAAGTTCCCTCCTGAAATAGTTTTTTACTTTTTTAGTCTTTGGTCCAAAATATAATTTATTATTTAAACGCCCTATGAAACCCAGAGTCTAGATTTTTGTAAGTTTGCTCCACGAGACATGTAGCACCACCTGAATAGAGCCATGCCCTGGTAAAGGGCCAGCCAACCGTCCAGGTAACTAAACAAGGGTATTTACCTCCTTCACCATCCTGTAAGTTCATAGCATTACGTCTTAAATGGCCAAAATACAACTGTTTGAAATACAACTTTTTCTCAATTTCACAAAAAAAATCTATTTGATTTTTTTGTGACAACTACAGCACACAAGTTACCTTTTTTCTGTTAAACATTTCTTTAAAAGCAATTTGTAAGTCCTTTTCAGTTAAAGTGAGGCATGTAGATTAAGTTGCATTTTCAGTTTAAGTGTTTATTGACAGACATCCTTGACTGCATAAAAATGACCTGAAAATAACAGTATTTGTTTTCTAATCTGAACAGGGAAATAATATGATCTGTCAGTGTAATGAGAGTTTTTAACCTTAAAGGAAGACTATTACACATTATGTACTTGAAATAAGATAATAGAGTTAGGTTGTTTTCATATTTTAAATGTAAATCTTAGTTCATCTGCAACTTCTCATATATATACCCAATCAAATCCAGAGAAGAAAAAGGTATAAATATTCTGGAATCCTGGGCTTTGTATTGGACTTCTCTTTCTTAATATAACTTTTAATCACTTTTACAGTATGATCTGGTAAACTGTAAAGGGCCTTGAGATGACATGTGTTGTGAAAAGGCGCAATATAAATAAACTCAAATGAAGTAAACCCTGGACAAGTTGGCAGTCTATCGCAGGGCAACATAGTGACACACAAGGACACACAACCATGCACACATACCTAATAAGAAATTAGACAACCCAATTAACCTAACATAGATGTTTTTGGGCTGTGGCAAGCTGAAGTGCCCGGAGAGAACCCAGGCATGCTCAGGGAGAACCTGCAAACCCAATGCAGAAAGACCTCGGGCCGGGAATTGAACCAAGAACACCCTTGCTGCAAGGCAATAGTGCTACCCACTCCTCCACTGTGCAGCCCAGCACCGTGCAGCCCAGCAATAAGCCAATTGCGACCAAATATATCCACCCTGAAGCTTATAACTAATCTTATAAACTCAATCCATGTAATGGAGAAACACTTTTTCACTACGTCTCCAGAAGAAGAAAGACTGCTGAAGAAATGGGATCATCAAACTTTTAAGATAGCAGTTACAGGTAAAATTCAATTGTGTTCTTTTTTTCACAAATTAAAAATAAATCTTGTCCACTGTTTTTCAGCTTTGTTTATATATTAGATTTGAAATTATTATTTATTTAAATTACACCAATGTGACATTCTTACCGATAGACTGGAAAAGATCATTATAGGTCAGCATCAGCCAGTGTTTGGCATTTGACGGCTCCATGCAACATATAAGGTGCTTGTTTTCCAACCTAAGGACCTGCCCCCAAATATGTTTGTTTATGCCTTTGTGTGTAGTTCATTTAAAGCCTCTTACATTTTCCCTCAGCTTCAAGTTTTTTTTTGCAACTGACTATAAAGGCTTAGGGTAAAGCTGATGTGGAAACATCATCTGGTTATTATTTGATTACATAAAAGAATGTTGTTTTGTTCTTGATCTTTCTTCTTTTTTTTTTTTTACAGTAAATATCAAGAAGTGGTTAAAGCATCAAGGTAATCTAACTCTCATTGAAATGGTTCAGGGTAAAAATAATATCATTTCTTTGCTCTATTCTTGGTAGCTGATTTGTTTCCTTTACCTTGGTCCACCTGTAGTGAGCATTTGAGTTGACTGTGCATTGAATTGTAGCATTGTTTCCAAAGTTGACCTCCAACACTCTGTTTACATTGCACAATAGCTTGATGTCATCTGGGGACATAGTTGAGGTAATTTTAAATCATTAACAATCAAAATCAATACATTTCTCTATTGCTTCACTCCTAGCCAACATATACAAAAACATGTAACCACTCTTACAGTACATTAGCATGGTGATAAATTACTGTCTGGCTACTGGGGAAATAAACTTGTATTGACAAAGTTAAATTGAAATATTGATATTGTTCATAGACTTAAAAAAGCATTCTGTCACTCTTTCTGTGTTATAAGAAGGTAAACAGACTTACCTTTCACTGTTAACTTCGTTTCATTGGTAAGAACACCAGAACGAAATGTCTGAACTTCACAGCTATAGCTGCCACTGTCCCATTTGTTCACCGGAGGGAGTTGGAGATCTAAACCAATTAACTGGTCTTTATCATCTCTCTTTGCTTGGCAGGTCACATTAGGCCAAAAATTATGCGGTCCATAGACTGGGTGGTATGCAATAAGCTTTGCTTTTCCATTTTTCATCCATCTAATGTCGACAATCTCAGGATCAGTGCCTCTCATCAAGCAAGGTATGGTAACGTTGTGGCCCACCTCAGCTTCCATTGTTTCATGAACAAACACCTCATAGTTATTGGACCCTGTTAGATAGATCAGATCATGTTGAAAGTATAACACCTGAAGAGAAAAAAATCTGTTACATTTTTAAGCTGGTAAAACAGGTTATTTTGGGCAACAGGAAGCAGACAAATAAAACACAGTCTGTGACATAGGCACCCAACAGACACTTTAACTCCATCGTGGAACATCTAACTACGGCTTGTATTTTAACTAAAATAGCGAACATCTTATAGTGCAGTGTTTTACCTTGGATAAAAGTTGCATGGAGCAGAAGGAAGGCAATCTTCAGTACACTTCCAATCATCTTTGAGCTAATAATTACAGTCAATCACTTTAAATCCTGGCAAAGATAGAAAGCATTCTCCTTTAGCTGAGCTGGAAGAGTGCGGCATGAAGACTATGAGACTGTGAACAGGAAGCCACACTAAAAAAACTGCATTGCTTGTGTAAAATGAAACTTTGTGGTTGAAACCTTTCATGCACAATAAAACTTTGCAGTTGCTCTAAATCTTTGCAATGCATATTCTTGTCAGAAGCAACCAAAGAGGACTCAAATGGAGGACTCAACTCAGGGAAATTAAGCCAAAAAATCATTTAATGCACTACTGCTTAATGAGTGGAGCAACTGGCAAAAATCTCTAATAGCAAAGGCTGGTCAAAAAAACAAACAAAAAACAAGTAGAGCAACTAGCTTAGCTACTAGGCAAGGTAGAACAAAGGCTGGGACACATGACACAAGGGACAAAGATGAACTGGAAAAGAAGGCTGCAGAGGAAGAGGTTGAAATAGGTGAGGCAATTGGCAACAAGACACAGGTGAGCAGTGTCAGGTAGGCTGATTAAAGGGGAATCCCAGGAAGTGAAGTAGTCTGAAAAGAGAACAGAAATTGGTGAACCAAAATAAAAAAGGAAGTTAAAAAAACTGTGCCAGACACAAAATGACAGAAGGGAAAGAAAGACACGGATCAGCAGAGCTGCATTTGACAACTCTAACTTCTTGCTTGTCAGCAACACTAAGTAAAAACATGCAAAGCATAGATTTGAAATGGTTTAAGACTGGCACCAAGGGAAATTACAAACCAAACAAGACAGAAGGATTAATTAATTTTGTTTATTTACTAAACTCCATCCTTCAAACATGCTCCTGTCCCTTGTGCTGAAGTGCAATCATTTCTTCGCTTGACTATCATCTTCCCTGTGAGCCTTTGTTATAATGGTACCTACCTTTTTTTTCCCAGCATAATCATTACTTCGGCCACTAGAGTGTTCTATCAAATGAATCTAAATGCTTACAGAATCTTCCGAAACAGCCAATGTTGAGAGACACCATGCTGCTTGAACAAATAATCTAGCTGATTATTTTAATGCAAGAAAAACAAATAAAACTGCCCCCTTACAGTTACCCCATGCATAGTATAAGCATACTGAACAAACTGAGCACACTCAACAAAGAATCAAACCCCCAAATGCAACTGCATAATGCAACTTTAACTCAAGATCATTTTTTCATAAAAGGTAAGTTTATTTTATCTAACTATTTTCTTTTTGTTAATACAGATTTTTCAGGAAAAAAGATTATGAAAAAAAAATTGAAAATAATCTCAGTCTCAGACAATCCATTGTGTTAATAGAAACTCACAAGAACACTATCTTAATAGTTATTACATGTCACATTTGGTCTACTAGAATGTGATAGCTCATAGGTGGCAAAAGCTAGTTGGTTTTTTTTTAGAGGTGGATAGTTAGCAGTTACTCTTGGGTAACCTTTTAAAGCCCCAGTGTGTAATTTTCACTGACATCTACCATACCTGTTATTCATCCTAATGTTTTAGTGGATTGCTTAGATCGATCGATCGATCGATCGATCGATCGATCGATCGATCTATCTATCTATCTATCTATCTATCTATCTATCTATCTATCTATCTATCTATCTATCTATCTATCTATCTATCTATCTATCTATCTATCTATCTATCTATCTATCTATCTATCTATCTATCTATCTATCTATCTATCTATCTATCTATCTGGTTATGAAAACATTCAATATTAAACACATTTTCAGTACAGAATTGTTGGCTTTAGCCAAGGTATGTTTAAAAGCAACCCAATGTTCTGAAAAATGTACCTAATTTAAATGCATATCCTGATGTTTTGACTCTATGCACTAGAAACACACACACCATCCCAGGGGATAAACCTTGCTTGTAATGAACAGTACAAAAAATACGGACATTTATTAAATAATTGATTAAATAATAAACAAAAATATAACTAATAAATATATTCTTAGCACAAAAACTAATAAAATATGTTTGTTTGTTGTAGTTTTTTTTTTGTAATGATGAACTGTTAATCATTAGCATTAAATGTTGTGCTAATATAACAATGTCATTACTGCAGATAAATATCAAGATGAAACCAGCAGCAATCCCAAATCTCAACTCTCAGTGATCATAGGCACCGATAGAAGGTTCTGCCTGTAGACCTTACCTAAAATATATTTAACATTATATAAACATCTTTAATATGTTGTTTTCCCCAAAGAGCACAACACAACCAGTTTGGTTTGACTTAAAAAAAATGCTGGTTAAAGAATCAGATCCCAAGATCAAACATGGGACCAGCATGAAAATGAGGTTCTAGGCTGTTGTGGTGCCGTGCTGTTCTTTCAGACACCAAAGAGCCTTTCTTTGGAAAAAAAAAGAGGCTGTGTGTCATTTTTTATAACTTAAATCATTCAAGGAAATGAGAACGTCAAACAAGAAGTGTGAATGGGCAAAACCAACCTACTCACGAAATCCTCAAATGTGGCACAATTCATATGGAAGTAACTGGAGACCAGAAGGTTAATTTGAGTGGCAGTTCTTGGTGTTGGACACAGTTGGTAGCACCAAAAATACCAAACACTTCAGATTTGGAAACAAATGAGAAGAACAGTTTTAATAAAGAATTAGACAAGTTAAAAATGAACCAATTCAATAATGATACACTTCTTTCTTTCTATCTATCTATCTATCTATCTATCTATCTATCTATCTATCTATCTATCTATCTATCTATCTATCTATCTATCTATCTATCTATCTATCTATCTATCTATCTATCTATCTATCTATCTATCTATCTATCTATCTATCTATCTATCATCTATCTATCTATCTATCTATCTATCTATCTATCTATCTATCTATCTATCTATCTATCTATCTATCTATCTATCTATCTATCTATCTATCTATCTATCTATCTATCTATCTATCTATCTATCTATCTATCTATCTATCTATCTATCTATCTATCTATCTGGTTATGAAAACATTCAATATTAAACACATTTTCAGTACAGAATTGTTGGCTTTAGCCAAGGTATGTTTAAAAGCAACCCAATGTTCTGAAAAAATGTACCTAATTTAAATGCATATCCTGATGTTTTGACTCTATGCACTAGAAACACACACACCATCCCAGGGGATAAACCTTGCTTGTAATGAACAGTACAAAAAATACGGACATTTATTAAATAATTGATTAAATAATAAACAAAAATATAACTAATAAATATATTCTTAGCACAAAAACTAATAAAATATGTGTTTGTTGTAGTTTTTTTTTGTAATGATGAACTGTTAATCATTAGCATTAAATGTTGTGCTAATATAACAATGTCATTATTGCAGATAAATATCAAGATGAAACCAGCAGCAATCCCAAATCTCAACTCTCAGTGATCATAGGCACCGATAGAAGGTTCTGCCTGTAGACCTTACCTAAAATATATTTAACATTATATAAACATCTTTAATATGTTGTTTTCCCCAAAGAGCACAACACAACCAGTTTGGTTTGACTTAAAAAAAATGCTGGTTAAAGAATCAGATCCCAAGATCAAACATGGGACCAGCATGAAAATGAGGTTCTAGGCTGTTGTGGTGCCGTGCTGTTCTTTCAGACATCAAAGAGCCTTTCTTTGGAAAAAAAAGAGGCTGTGTGTCATTTTTTATAACTTAAATCATTCAAGGAAATGAGAACGTCAAACAAGAAGTGTGAATGGGCAAAACCAACCTACTCACGAAATCCTCAAATGTGGCACAATTCATATTGAAGTAACTGGAGACCAGAAGGTTAATTTGAGTGGCAGTTCTTGGTGTTGGACACAGTTGGTAGCACCAAAAATACCAAACACTTCAGAGTTGGAAACAAATGAGAAGAACAGTTTTAATAAAGAATTAGACAAGTTAAAAATGAACCAATTCAATAATGATACACTTCTTTCTTTCTATCTTTCTATCTTTCTATCTTTCTATCTATCTATCTATCTATCTATCTATCTATCTATCTATCTATCTATCTATCTATCTATCTATCTATCTATCTATCTATCTATCTATCTATCTATCTATCTATCTATCTATCTATCTATCTATCTATCTATCTATCTATCTATCTATCTATCTATCTATCTATCTATCTATCATCAAAAGTAGGTAAAGGACAGGTGCTAAGTGGGATGACTGGAGCTGTGGTTTGAGGCCATGATTTGAGGAAGGAGCCAAAGAGAACTAACTGAGGTACTGTATGTATCCAGAAAATTATTTTGGTGAATACCTACTTGGTCTGTGTGATCTAAATAATCGTAATTCAACATGTTTTATTTAAGCCTTGGAGCGCTATATGTAGGGCAGTAAATGTTTTTTTTACTCTATACTTGCCCGCAGTCACATTTGAGCGTAATGGCGAGACCCACTCCTCTGTAATTATGAATAGCAATTTATAATTACATAGAAAGCAATGCAAACACACAGATTAAGACCAAGTTTGTAGATGATAATATATAACATACTTATTTAAAATATATTACATTTCTGTCAGTAAATCCCTGTAATTATTACACACCTTAGCTTTAAAAAAATTCAATCATACTTAATCATCATACTTAAGCATATTTTTGTAAGAGTTCTCCTACTTAGAATATACAGCACTAGAAACTAGTATTGCACCGATACCGATACCAGTATCGGACGGGGCCCCGATACTGCCCTAAAATCGTGGTATCGGTGAGTACCAACAAATAGGGCACTGATACCATTTTGAGAACTATAAGTTTATTCAACTATTGTTCCAGGTAGGCAATAAAAAGTTCCACTGGATTCACTTTGTATTAGATTTTTTCCTGCTTCACAAAGGTAGGCAGCAGCTTGACAAAGCCATGATGTCAATTATTTTACATTATTATGGTATCGGTATCGGCTGATACTGCACAGCCAGGTATCGGGTATCGGTATCGGGGCCAAAAATGGCATTGGCGCAACACTACTAGAAACAGACAGACTTAAATGGATGTCAATAAAAACACTGTTCTTGTGTAAAGAAACATAACTGTTTAAACATTATTGTGGTATCATATGTGGTAAGTCTTAATTACAATATAAAAGTCACATGCATATACATCAATTGATATTGACATCCCAGTACTTTGTACTATTCTGATGTGCAATTAATCAAACCTCTAAACAGTGCTGTTCTAACCTCAAAGATCTGCAGTCCATTACCAAGACTTATCATCTAAATACCAGCGAAAACATGTAAAATGCTTGTTAGAAGTTGTTACTGGTCATACAGTTATTATACTACTGTAATCATTTTGTTTTTTTTAAATAAAGATTAAGAACAGTTTCAACAAAATTCTTCATATAACCTAATTGTGCTGGACAAATAAGTATTACCGAGGAATTAAATTGTCTTTATTCACATATTTGAATTACTCACCTTTATTTGTTACAGTCACCCCAGACCATGCATTGAAATGATTAATCATTATGAAGTCTTGTTATACATCTGACGTTTATTACTTACTGTTTATTAGGACCAAGAAGAGTATCTGAACGATTTCTATCAGTATTCTGCAAGGGTTTAGTCAGAGACTTTGCTGCTCCGCTCTATTAGATAAGGGCAGTGTCACTTCCACTGGGATATATGAAATTCTCAAGGATTTCTGACAGGTGTTAGTATCACTCTGACTGCTTCATTCAGCTGTCCATGAGAAATCGTGATAAACAAATATGAAGCCTTGTACCACTTACTTTAGTATCTTTTATCTCACCCTCAACCCCCATAACAAGTAAGATATGTGAAGATTGTTTTTACAACTTTCTGACTAATAACAGGGTAAATACTGCTTTTATTTTGCCTTCATCCCTTGCTCTCTCCTTAGGTGCTTTTATATGCTGTGAAAGTAAGAGCTAACAAGGTGTTATACTCAGCTCATCTTCTACACATTTACAGATAATAGCTTTGCGTGGAATTCATGCATGCGCTAGAAGTCTCAAGGGCCCCTAGATACCTCTGTGAGCTGCAGCAAATTAGTCTTTCAGAAGAATTTTGCATGCGAGAACTGACTGCTAACTCTGAGTAAAGGTATCTAGGTGTGCATGAGAGAATGTGGTGCATATTAGCACATATTCTGACCTCAAGGGGCATTACGTGTTCACACATTGTCCATGGCTCATTCAGACAGATTTTGTAACACACCAAATGCACTCACATTTTTGAGCAAGGGAGACTTTTAAAGGGGATGAATTATTAAATCTAAGCATGTTGGACAGATTGTATGACAACAAACTAGTTTAAGCCTCAAGAGACTTTTTCATGATGCTGCGTTTACATTTAACCTAATTTAAAATTCAAATCAGGATCTTAAGCTTAAATCATACAGCACTCAATACAAGCCATCAGTCCTTTGTCTTCTACTTGCCTAACAAAAGTAAGACATTCCTCTCCAAAGCTTTTTCTGGTAAATCATTTTTCACTACAAAGACTGAAGGAATACATTCATTGGGTTATTGGCATGCTTTTTGGTCTCTACTTAGTAGTGCACGGTCACAACACCCTCACCAAGATGAGCTCAAAGAGGCATCTTAATTTGGATATCTGAATCACCCAAGCTAACTATTTTATAAGGAGTGTTATTAGCTCCCAGTTCCTTAACATGCAAGACGTCTTCACACTATCAAATTCTCAATCCTGCCACTCTATAAGGAATGACAATTTCAGTGTCGTATTGTTGTTAATGAGCATTCTTTCAGTTACCACCGCGGTTCTCAAAGTGTGTGGCGCGACCCACTTGTGGGGAATTGAGACGTGACAGGTGGGGCGCGCCAAGTTCCGGTGTGTGTGTGTGTGTGTTGTGTGACTATAAATGTAGAACTTGTGAGAGCAAACTGTCCTTATAGCTGTATGTTGCCGCTTTTTAGACCAATCAAACCCACAAAGTAATCATTACTAGCCTACATGCAGTCTAATTAAAAGAACATTAGATATGAGAAACATTTCACCTGGAACTGAAGTGCCAAAATAATGATTGACGTGACGTCGGCATATTATTTGTAACGGAATAAACTTTCGCGCCCCAGTGTTGCCAACTCAGCGACTTTGTCGCTATATTTCAGACCCCTCCAGCGACTCTTTTTCAAAAAAGCGACTAGCGACAAATCTAGCGACTTTTGGAGACTCTTACGGGAAAGCACGTATCGTTCCTTTTCTTGTCCTCCAGCGGCAGGTGCTGCCGTGGGGCGTCTCCTCCCTCCCAACCCCGTTCTCCCCCGCTATCGCAGGAGTCCCTCTCAGCACTGCAGTCAGAGACACAGCATGTTTACCCTCAGCGTCCAGACAGCAAATAAAGCGCACGTGCGCCGGGATTGACGGCGCAGGTTGATCATAAATAACTGAATTTGAAATATTTTATCTTAAATGAATAAGGGCGTTTGATTCACACAGCCACATGTTCATGTTTCTGGTTTGGAGTGGAGAGGGAGTATCCACTCATCGGGCAGAGAGCTGTGTGCATTCTTCTTCCCTTTGCCACATCATATCTCTGAGATGGGCTTTTCAGCTGTTGCTTCACTGAAAACAAAGCATGACTTGAGAGTGGCAGTATCAAGCCTGCAACACCGTTTTGATAAACTGTGCAATGCAAAACAGGCTCATTGCAGCCACTAATGCAGGGATAAATAGACCTGTCTTGCCAGATGGATTTCACTTCTTTTCTTTTATTAACAGATTGCAGAGTGGCACTTTAATTTTTTTATCTTTGAGCTTGATACAAATTTTGACACAGCTGCATTTTTATTTTCTTTATTTTTGAGCTTGCTGTTATTTGATGTAGATAGTTTGTATTTAGATTAGTGCTGTCAATCGATTAATTTTTTTTTAATCGCGATTAATCGCATCAATGCCTAAGTTAACTCGTGATTAATCGCATTTTAATCGCACATTTTTTTCCTGATTGAAAATCATTTAAATACTCTCGATGACATACAAAAAAATACATACAGGCTAGGTTTGTGCCAATGTTCTTTTTTTAAAATGAGAACAGGTCACAGATACTGATTTATGCCATAGAAACATATGGCAAGAAGATGGGGAGGCATGTAGCAAAAAATAACAAATATGTAGGCAAAAAAAAGGCCCTGAAAACAGGCTGATGTAAAAGACAGTCTTTACAGTTAATACAGTCTTTTGAACAAAGACAAGCATTTTACCCTACTTCTATAAAATATAGTAGAGTTAACATTAGATGTTAATTAACCAAGATAATAATGAACAATTTTCAATCAATACATCAAAATCAATAGACCGACATCACTAGATGGAGGTAGTCTATGCTCTAGAAAGTTACTTTTCAGACTCTTAACAAAAATGAGAACACACACACACACACACAATACTGACCTGTGGCGTACACAGACAGCAAGAGTGCCGTAGCAGATTCCATTTCACCTCAGTAATCTGTTTTCTCAGCGTATTTCAGGTTGCTACTAGTTACCAGACACTCAAGTTGTTTGTTGGTGGTGGGGCTTAAAGAAAAGGCACTAGCGTCACCCAGTGTATGAGCGTCTTTTTTCCTTGAGGAGCTCCGCTCTCGAAGCCTATGAGAAATGCATACACTGGGGGAAAATAGCCCCGCCTTCCCGCAGGCTGCAGCGGGATGTACTTGGAAAATTGTACCATAAAACCACATAGCGTTAATCTCACGTTAAAAAAATTATCGCCGTTAAAATGGCCTCGCGTTAACGCGTTAATAACGCAATAATTTTGACAGCACTAATTTAGATACTACTTGTTACTTCAATAAAATTGGAACATTTTAAGATTGTTGCATATTTCATTAGCATTGTGTTGGGGCGATGGGGACAGGCGGGGCTTGAAAATTCCCCCTTATCCAAAGTGGGGAATGACAGAAAAAGTTTGAGAACCACTGAGTTACCATAACCATAGGCAGGGGTCTGAATCTAGACAGAGCAGTGAATCATGACAGGCACAAGCAATGCCCAAGTCTCTCTAGAAGAGGCTCTAATCCATCAATCAACCTATTGTCTCTTCTCACTATTACTTGCGGACAGGACAACAAATACTTGAACTGCTCCAATTTCATAGCAAAGCTCCTGCCAAAAATGATGGAACCACTGCTGACTGAGGATGTTTCCTGTTTTACATTGCATCTTCAAATTAATACAGAATAATAAAATGTCTAAAAATATATCTGGAAGTATCGAACAACCAAAACCTATGACTTTGCTCCACAGTTGTTCTATTGGTTTAACTAATGAAAACACTCTGAGAGTGATGTGAACTGCTATGGGTAACAGCATCAGGGGAAATGACTTAAAGAACCTCAACAACCTGATAAAAAGGCAACCTCTTCAGATGCCAACACCAACAAAGTGGCTTCATTCAAAGACTTCTCTAGATCTGTAAGTTGTTAACTGTATCCATTTTGCAAAAGGCTCAACTTCATGAAACATCCTGAGATACTCAGTGGAGCTTGCTTTAAAACCCTTGTGTGTCCTCAACTCTTACCCTTAGATCCAGACGAGGTCACGTGGGGGAATCAGAGTTCTTCAAACTTTGACCTAAAGCAAAGCAAAGAATACAGCCTCCTTCTAACAACCGTGTCCGTCCATTTCAGTTATACACTCCCACAGTTTGAGCCCCACTCCCACAGGCTGTCACTCTGGGTCTCTGAGCAAGACCCTTAATGCCACACTGCTCCCCGATCTCTGCACAATGGCAGCCCACTGCCCCCAAGGGAATGGATTAAATTCAGAGGTACATTTCTCAAATCAATAAAGTTCAATTATTGCTATCATAGATTTTATATTTTGCATTGGCCTGAACACATTTAGATTGCAACTGTACTACTTTAAGATCTAATTTTATGATAAATCATGGTTCTCAAACATAAAATACAGCATGATACAGTATGATATCACTGCTTATGCAGTTAAGAATGTTATTCAGAGATTTTTGTTAGTCTTTTCCTTTGATGTGTTTTTTTGCTTATTATTTTCTTTTTTATTTGTTGTCCTAACAGAGAGCCACAGGTGCTCACAGAAAATCATATCACAGTCCAAAGGTTATTTGATCAAATAATATAAATGTATACAATTTCGAAACACAAAAGTCTTATGTAACAGCTGACAGTACTACTTTGCATGATGGAGAAACTCTGCCGTAACTTTCACCTTATATTTTCATTAAAAAACGTTCTATTATGTTTTATTTTTTGTTAATGTAGCTCTAAGGAAAAAATACACCAGAAAGGAGGGGAATCTGTGATTTTTCCCTCTTTCTTTTTTATAATTGACTGAGTTCCCTTCAAGATTATCCTCTTCTGCCAGGAGATATATGCAACCTTGATGATCCTCAGGTAGAATAATTTATTTTCTACATTTCAATTGTGGCATTATTGAGATTATATATTCACTTTTTAAAAAGGCTAAGCTGTATGTTATTTATCAGAATGCTACTGACCTAAAGTCACAAATATAAAATGTTTTCCTATAGACTATATTGAAAATGTTTTCATACATAAGTTGTAGACTGTAAAATCTCAACATTGGAATTCATTGCTTAACATTGTCTGGGGTTCTGCCTCAGCCTTTCTCGTTAAACTGCTGCAAAGATACAGGAATATTTACATAATTATTCATCACTCAAATACATATAAAGGTTAAGAATACCTCCACTATTGAGAAAAAGATAATAACAGCAAAATATCTCTCAATCATTAAGCCTTGTTCTATTTATTGCTACATAAAGATGCAAAATAATGGTGCTTAAAATCAACAAGTTGGCTTTTAATAGTTCTGTGTTTGTGGTTCTGAGTTAAAAAGTTCATTACCAATTTCTTTATTGTATATTTGGAGATTTCTGAATACAAGAAGGTAGGCCCATCTATATATATATATATATATATATATATATATATATATATATATATATATATATATATATATATATATATATATATATATATATATATATATACATGCATATATACTGCATATATATATATATATATATATATATATATATATATATATATATATATATATATATATATATATATATATATATATATATATATATATATATATATATATATATATATATATATATATATGCAGTCCAATAATAGCAAAATAGTCAATATTTTTAATCAACTTCCTCCTATTCTCAACCCTTAGCTGGATGTAATAATTGTTCTCTGTTTGGACTAAAACAAATGTCACTACATTGGACAGAGCTGAAACTTAGGAGATTCTTAGGAGTTTCTCTGTAGCCTTAGGTTAATTTAGGTGAAGGGCAGTGGTGTGGGACGCAGGAGTTTCTTATGCAACTGCACTTGGAGTGGTTTTAAACCCCAGCTCCACTTGTCTCAGTTATGTCTTCGTCCTTTCACCTACATTGTCGTTGATGATGAGGAGCCCCCTCACTTAAAAATGGTGCTATATAAGTACAGTCCATTCGTCTTTATCATTTAAATACTAAAACTCCTATTTAACTTTAGCTATGTGTGCTTAAAATGACATTTTCACACATTTTACAGTGTCCATTTGTGATGTTGGTGAACTATGCTTAATGTTGCAGTATGGATAAACACTGCTCAGTGTAATCTGAGACTAAATTTGAATCATTGAAGCCTGAAAGGGGCAGGTCTTTCAAGTAAGCTGAACTGAACAAGCATGCACTAGACTTAATTAACAAGTAACTTAAAAGAGCATAACATAAAAGTTATTTTCTAATTTTTTGGGGGAAATTTTGTAGATTTAAGTACATAAAAGATAGAAATAAATAATAGTTCCAAACTAATGTTGACTTTTTCAAAATGCAAATAACTTACAAACCTATAAAGTTCACAAAAATTAGATCTACCTAGAACTTCCTTACATAAAACAGTTGAATCAACTGACTCCTTTACTTTGAGGTAATCTGTTTACACGTAAATTTTGATTTAGTTAACTTACTCGGGTTTTGCAGGGTAGATCGCAATATGTCCAACTCAAAGTTATGACCAAATGGCTGTTAGTAGCTATTCTGCACAGAGCAGCAGCTTTTCTTTTTGGGCTAATGTCTAATTCCTGGAATTCTGTTTTTTGGCCTCTTGTCTCGGACTTTGTTCAGGCTTCCTATAATGATACGTTAACATTATGAAATGGGAGGCACATAGTTGGGGGAAGTAGCTTTCCCAATATAGCTCTGGGAATAGAAGTGTCCAGAGCAACATGACAGCCCAAAAGAATTGCTTTCATAGGCAGACCATTATGCCTGTTCTGTATGGTACTTGTATATGAAACTTTATTGAAAATTATTTCAGCAGTCCCAGCTGCGGCAGTGTATCAAACACTTAACCTAATAACAATCACACCCTTAGGCCCTCGGACCCAGGAGGAGATCCCCAGACCCTGTTGTGTAGGAAGGGGCAAGCAGCTCAAGATTTAAGCCTGGGTTGGGATCAGGATACACCAAAAAGTGGGAGAGTAGCAGTGTAGCCCAGGTCTAGTCCTAGACCCACCCCCAAGAGGGTGAATAATGTATTTAACTTATAGCCAACAGAAATTAAAGGCATATTTAAACATAGAGCTAGACTCAACATAATGTACTACGAATCAGACGCCTCCTACACCAGTTGGCAGAAAGCTGCGTAGGCTGGCAATTTTTAAATACATTTTTCTCCACCATAATCTGCCTTTTCCTACCCAAGCTTCACCAATACTCTTTGATGCGAAGGATTGTAGGATTACTCATAGCTCCTTAGCACCAGTGAGGTGCTTAACTATGATTAGAAGTATACAAGCTCCTTTGCTTACCTCTTTTCTTACCACAAGCACTGTTCTAAAGAATACATCACAATTTGATCATTTTGGATCCACAGAGTCTAATCATCTGGTTAAGTGAACAGGATAAAGAAAATCTTGGATTTTTACCTTCTGGCCGTATGTTGTCCACCTCTGCAAATTAGATACAAATTTTGCAATATTCACAAACCTCAATTACTCTACACCTACATTAACCTGCTTTTGTCATTGTTTCATTCCTTGGAATATATACTTATCGACTGTAGAAGTTTTACAAAAGCTACAAAAACTGATCTGTTGGTTTCAGCTTCTGTGGTAAAAATAAAAAAAAAACAGACTTAAACCCATAGAAACGACTGCTACTCGTTATTGGATTTCTCGGATTCTCTTAGAAAAGTTGTTTTCATAAACATACGGTACAGTGGTGCATGTTGCAGGGGTATGGCACAGAGCATGCAAGCAAAACCTATCTCAAAAAATTACATCCAAGTTATCAGCAGGTTGCTGGGGAACCAAGCAAATGTGCAGGAAATATTTTGCTTTTCCAGTGTTTGATTTGGATACAGAATGTATCTGTCAAGCTGTCAGATGAAAGCCGTTACACTGCATTTCCTAATGAAAGACGAGCACCAGCTAACAAGGTGTGTGTTTAGGATCCACAGGGTTCTGTGAACAATATATTTCTGTGTGTGTATGAAGCTCTCCCTGATTGGAAGTGTGTAGGTGTTTTTATAAAGAGCTGTGCCGGAGCTTTATTTTAATATTTATCAGATGTTTAAAGATCTGTTAATCATCACTAATAGAACTGTCATCATTCTGAAAGTTACTGTGAGTTAAAGAACCAATGTGGTGCTGAACTAACTTTGCTTTTACAAAATCTTTACCTTCACACCAGAACAATAAAATAGATTAGACTGTGTTCTAGGCTGTGTCAGGTTTCTATTTCTGTTATGTTTTTCTTTTTAGTATCCAGTTTTGCTTTGCTCCTTGTTTTCTAGTTTTAGTGGGTTAATTCTTAGTTTATTGAGTTCTTTGATTCTTTTCTCAGTTACTGTCTTAGTCTGGGTTCTGTTATATTTTCTTTTTAGTGTTCAGTCTTGCTTTACTCCTTGTTTTCTAGTGTTAGTGGTTTTATTTAGCTGTGTTCTTTGTTTTTTTTCCAGTTACTGTCCTAGTCTGGGTTCTGTTATGTTTTCTTTTGAGTGTTTAGTTTTTTTTTCTCCATGTTTTTGTTTCCTAGTAATTTAACTATAATTTTGTTGTTATTTCCAGTTTTCTGGGTTCCTATTGGTTGCTCTCTGCTGCCCTCTTATGTTCTCCTTCTTCCCTAGCTCTTTCCCTCTCTTGTTCTGTGAACACCTGCTCCCAGTTTCCTCATTAGACCTCTCTTTGTCTCAGTCTCCTTTAAAGCCCTCTCTCTTCAGTTCCTCTTTGCTGGGTCGTCGTCATACATTGTCAAACCTCTTTAGTCTTCCTCCACTTTGTCTCTCTGAGCCCTTTTTGTGATTTTTGATTCCCCTGATGTCTTCTTAGTTTTTTGGTAAGTTTAGACTTGTGTTTTTTTTTCTTTTCTTTTTTTGATCTGTGGACTGGACTCCAGGGGCCTGTTTCAATAAGGAAGTTCAACCAACTCTGAGTTAAAACTTGAACTCTGAGTTGACTTATCCTGAGATTGGAAACTCTGAGTTTTGGGTTTCAGAACAGCTGAAATGAGTTAGTTCAATCAACTCTAAATTGACTGACTCTGAGTTAAGCGTGTGCACCACAACTATAAAAAGCCATTATCAATGGAGCACAGATATTACGAGTCACCATGGCAACAGCGTCAGACAAAAAAATATGTGTACACATTTCTCACCAGCAGAACTGGATGTGTTTATGCAAGCATATGCAGAATTTGAACATGTATTTAAAAAAAAAAGCAACACGGCTGCAGCGGCGAAGGAGAGAGAGTTAGCTTGGGTGAAAATAGCTGCTCGAGTCAATGCTTAAGTTTACATTTTAATTACTTTTATACAGTGTTGGGTGTAATGAATTAAGTTACATAAGTCATATAAATACTGTAATTAAATTAAAGACTATAAAACAATAGTGGATTTAATATCAAAATTTAAAAGGTATATTTTGATTTGAACTTTCTCCCTCTAGTTACACACTTTGGTCAATTTAAGATTAATTCATGCAATTGAATATTGTTTATTTGAAAGCATTAGAAGTGCAGTTTCTTGTCTCTCCTTGTATTGTTCAAGTGGTTGAGGTTGATTTGGGATTTAGAAAGTAATTAATAAGTAAGTAAAACAAATTAGTAAGTAGACCAATACTTTCTAGAGACAGTAATTATTACATTAATCTAATTAGACTTGTTGAAGATAAAATTTGTAGTTAGTAATTAAGAACTATTTTAGAGTAACTTACCCAACTGTTATAATATCAGAGGTGAAACTGGAAGAACAGTATTTTATTAAACCTAATTTAGTTTTCATGGATAGGTGCAATCCTGCAGGCATCAAAAGAACATGGCAGCAGCTGAAAATGAAATATAAAAACATACTTCAAGCAGGTAAGCCTTGAGCACATCATGGGAGTAGAGTAGCTACCTGGCTTTACAAACAGGATCATCGATAAAAGGACATGCCATTTCATTCCCTTTGATGCGCTCTACGTGACTGAAATGTGTGCAATGAATACTGTATGTCCCCAAAGAATCAATGAGGTGTTTAAACACCACTTCCTCTTTAAAAAAGGGGAGGAGACCAAAATAAACTCTGGATTTTCTGAAGAAAACCTGCTCCCCACCAGGTTAGGTTCACAGAGTAAATTCCCATGGTAACTGACTCTGAGTATAAGTTACCTCTCTTTCAGAAACGGGCTTGACTTACTCTGCTTTCTCAGGTTTAACTTACCTCCCTTTCTGAAACAGAAAACCCAGAGTTTCCCTCATTTCAGCGTTAACAAACTCAGAGTTTTCACTTAACCTCCTTTCTGAAACAGGCCCCTGGTTTCATGTTTGTTTGGACTTTGTTGTCCTTTTGCATTTTTGGATAACCTGCCTCTGTTTTCAGTTTTTTATTATTCATCATTAAATCACGTTAAAGATTCACCTCTGCCTTCCTGCCTCTGCCTTTGGTTCCTCAAACCCCAAACAAACCCTGACAGGCAGATACTGTTTCAAACACAAAGAGACTGCTAATAAACCACAAATGAAGAGCATATTGCTTATGGTTTATTTACTCATTTGCTCTGCAATACTTCTGATTTGCCCCTTCTTTTTGTACTCTTTCCACAGCATAGAGAAATTAGCCAATATACTGGATTCTTCTCCCCAGTCCAATGGCATAGGCTTTCTCCGGGAGGCTGAGGAGAATGATCCTGCTATGGTCTGAAGACACTGTGTGGATAATTTCGGGATCATTATTTCCTCTTGCCCACAGAGGGAACAACACAGGGAAAAACACTGTACAAAGATGTACAGCCATGCACACAGTCTCACATCTAATGACAATTTAGAAGTCATTTAACCTAATGATCATCTTTTTGGACTGTTGAAGGAAGCCAAAAGAACCCATGCATGGAAAGGGGGAACATGCAAACTCCATGCGGAAAGACCCATGGATCTGGGGGTGTGGCGGCCTAGTGGTTAGGGCGTTGCCCTTTGAATCCTGAGGTTCTGAGTTCAAGAACAGCCACTCTGGGTCCCTGAGTAAGACCCTTAACCCCACACTGCTCCCCGGGCATGCATAATGGCAGCCCACGGCTCCCCAAGGATGAGTTTAATGCAGAGAGTTAATTTCTTTGCTTTGTACTTGTGACAGTGTAATGACAATAGAAAATTTGGAATAAAGCCTGCAACCTTCTTACTGCAGGGCAACAGCTATACAAACTGGTCCAGCGTGCAGCTCAGTTTTGAAGATGATAATGTGTAAAAACAGTGTGACCTAGAGGGCCAAACATAATTAGAAAAGTAACATTTCAAATATACGTATGCCTTAAAATATCCTTTCTGCAAATCAGCATGTTTCTTTTACATAAATAATTTCATTACCTCCCACCTGGTCTTTAAATAATCACAGCAGGGTACTGAGGCCAATGGTGAGACCCAGGATAACAACGTAAATGCCTGCAGAAATGACTTTGTTAAAAACAACCTGAGTCAAATGAAGTAACTTCAAAAGCTCCACTCAGTCTTTAGCTATTATGTTGGGCAAACATGCGGGAGGTATGGATAAGCAACAACACCTAAAGAGAAACAAAGGCATGTATAGTAC